CTTCTGTTGACGGACACTTAGGTTTCTTCCAAATCTTGGCTATCGTGAATAGTGCTGCAACAAACATGGAACTGCAGATACTAATTTTCCTTCTTTGGGGTATATACCTAGGAGTGGATCATATACTAGTACTGTTTTCAGTTTTTTTGAGGAACCTCTGTACCATTCTCCATAGTGGCTGACCTAATTTACATTCCTGCCAACAGTGAGCAAGGGTTCCCTTTTCTCCACATCTTTGCCATCATTCGTTATTGCTTGTCTCTTGGATAAAAGCCATTTGATAATATCTCGCTGAAGTTTTGATTTGCATTTCTCTGATGTCAGTGATGTTGAGCACCTTTTCGTATGCCTGTTGGCCATTTGTATGTCTTTTGAGAAATGTCTATTTTTGTCCATTTTAAAATTGTGTTATTAGATTTTTTTCCTATGGAGTTATTTCAGCTCCTTATATATTCCGCTTATTAATCCCTTGACAGATGGATAGTTTGCACATACTTTCTCCCATTCTGTGGGTTGTCTCTTTACTTTGTATCTATCTATCACTCAGGCTGGAATGCAGTGGCACAATTATGGCTCACTGCAGCTTTGACCTCCCTGGACCTCAACCTCAAGTGATTCTTCCACCTCAGACCTCGAGTAGCTGGGACTACAGGTGTGTGCCACCATGCCTGACTAATTTTTGGTTTGAGGTTTTAGTCGTTGTTTTTGGTAGAGACAGAATTTCACTACGTTACCCAGGCTGGTCTCAAGACTCCTGGGCTCAAGCAGTCAGCCTGCCTTAGTCTCCCAAAGTGCTGGGATTACAAGTGTGAGCACTGTGCCTGCTGCTCAGGATGGCTTTGGCTATTTGGGATCTTTTGTGGTTTCATATAAATTTTAGGATTCGATTTTCTATTTCTGTAAAGAACGTCATTGGTATTTTCTTAGGATTGCTTTGAATCTGTAGATTGCTTTGGGCAGTGTGGACATTTTCACAGTATAGATTGATTCCAGTCAATGAACGTGAAATGTCTTTCCATTCCTTTGTGTCCTCTTTAATTTCTTACATTATTGTTTTATAGTTTTCATTGTAGAGATCTTTCACTATTCTAGTTAAGTGTATTCCTAATTATTTTATTTGTGGCCATTATAAATGAGATTACTTTCTTGATTTCTTTTTCATCTTGGTGGCTGTTGGCATATAGAAATGCTACTGTGTTTTGTATGTTGATTTTGTATCCTGCTACTTTACTGAATTTGTTTATTAGTTCTTTTTTTTGTAAAATCTTTGGGTTTTTTAAAATATAAGATCATATCATCTGCAAAAAAGGATACTTTGACTTCTTCTTTTCCAATTTGGATGCACTTTATGTCTTTCTCTTCTCTGATTGCTCTAGCTGGGACTTCCAGAACTATGTTGAATAACAGTTATGAAACTGGGCATCCTTGTCGTGTTCTAGTTCTTGGAGGAAAGGATTTTAGTTTTTCCCCACTCACTGTGATACTAGCTATGTTGTATATGTCTTTTATTGTGTTTAGGTATGTTCCTTCTGTACCCAGGTTTTTAAGGATTTTTATCATGAAGGAATGTTGAACTTTATCAAATGCTTTTTCAGCATGAATTGAAATGATTGTATTGTTTTTGTCCTTCATTCTGTTGATATGGTGTGGCACATTGATTGATTTGTGTGTGCTGAACCATCCTTGCATCGCTGGGTTAAATCCCACTTGGTCATAATGAATGATCTTTTTAATGTGTTGTTGAATTTTTTTGAGATGGAGTCTCGCTCTGCCGCCCAGGCTGGAGTGCAGTGGCCGGATCTCAGCTCACTGCACGCTCCGCCTCCCGGGTTCACGCCATTCTCCTGCCTCAGCCTCCCGAGTAGTTGGGACTACAGGCGCCCGCCACCGCGCCCGGCTAGTTTTTTGTATTTTTTAGTAGAGACGGGGTTTCACCGTGTTAGCCAGGATGGTCTCGATCTCCTGACCTCGTGATCCGCCCGTCTCGGCCTCCCAAAGTGCTGGGATTACAGGCTTGAACCACCGCGCCCGGCCTGTTGAATTTGTTTTGCTGGTATTTTGTTGAGGATTTTTGCATCAATGTTCATCAGGAATATTGGCCTGTGGTTTTCTTTTTTTCACATGTCTTCATTTGGTTTTAGAATCAGTGTAATCTAGCATCATAGAATGAGTTTGGAAATATTCTCTCCTCCTCTACTTTTTCGAATTGTTTGAGTAGGATTGGCAATAGTTCTTGTTCGTTTATTTATTTATTTATTTATTTATTGACACTGAGTCTCATTCTGTCGCGCAGGCTGGAGTGCAGTGGCACTATCTCAGCTCACTGCAAACTCTGCCTCCCGGGTTCACGCTGTTCTCCTGCCTCAGCCTCCCAAGTAGCTGGGACTACAGGCACCCGCCACCACGCCTAGCTAATTTTTTTTATTTTTGTAGAGACAGGGCTTCACCATGTTAGCCAGGATGGTCTCGATCTCCTGAACTCATGATCCACCAGCCTCAGCCTCCCAAAGTGCTGGGATTACAGGCGTGAGCCCCTGCGCCCGGCCGGCAATAGTTCTTTTTTAAATGTTTGGTAGTTGGGTCCTGGGCTTTTCTTTGCTGGGAGACTTTTTATTATGGTTTTGATCTCATTACTCTGTCTATTCAAGTTTTGCATTTCTTCCTAGTTTAGTCTTGGTGAGTTGTGTATGTTGAGGAATTTATCCCTTTCTTCAAGGTTTTCCAATTGATTGGTATATAGTTGCTCATAGTAGTCTCTAATGATCCTTGAATTTCTGTGGTATCAGTTGTAATGTCATTTTCATCTCTGATTTAATTTATTTGGATCTTATCTCTTTTTTTCTTAGTCTGGCTAAAAGTTTGTCAATTTTGTTTATCTTCTCCTAAAGAACTTTTCATTTCATTGATCTTTTGTATTTTTTGTTTCAATTTTGTTTATTTCTGCTCTAATCTTTATTTCTTTCCTTCTACTAAGTTTGGGTTTAGTTTGCTTTGTTCTTTTTGTTCTTTAAGAAGCATCATTAAGTTGTTTATTTGACTTTTCTTTTTTTCTTCTTCTTTTTTTTTTTTTTTTTTTTTTTGAGACAGAGTCTCACTTTGTCGCCCGGGCTGGAGTACAGTGGTGTCTCGGCTCATTGCCACCACTGCCTCCCAGGTTCAAGTGATTCTCCTGCCTTAGCCTCCCAAGTAGCTGGAATTACAGATACCTACCACCACGCCCGGCTAATTTTTCGATTTTCACCATGTTGGCCAGGCTGGTCTCAAAACTCCTGACCTCAAGTGATCCACCTGCCTCGGCCTCCCAAAGTGGTAGGATTACAGGCATGAGCCACTGCTCCCAGCGTCTACCTTTTTTATGTAGGCACTTACTGCTATAAACTTTCCTCTTAGTACTGCTTTCACTATATCCTATAGGTTTTGCTATGTTGTGTTTCCATTTTAATTTGTTTCAAGAAATCTGTTAATTTCCTTCTTAACTTCTTCATTGACCCACAAATCATGAGGAGCATATTGTTTAATTTCCGTGTGTTTGTATAGTATCCAGAGTTCCTCTTTTTACTCATGTCTAGTTTTATTCCATTGTGGTCAGAGAAGAAACTTCATATGGTTGGTTTTTTTTTTTAATTCTTTAAGACTTGTTCTGTGACCTAACATGTGGTCTGCCCTTGAGAATGATGCATGTGCTGAGAAGAAGAATGTATATTGCAGAATGTAAGAAGAATGTAATCTGCAGCCATTGGATGAAATGTTCTGTAAATATCTATTAGATCCATTTGGTCTATAATGCAGATTAAATCCAACTTTTTTTTTATTTTCTGTCTGGATGATCTGTTCAGTGCTGAAAGTGGGGTGTTGAGGTCTCCAGCTATTATTGTATTCAAGTCTGTCTATCTCTTTAGCTCTAATAATTGGGTGTTAGGTGCATATATATTTGGGTGCTCCAGTGTTGAGTGCATGTATATTTACAATTGTTATATCCTCTTGCTGAATTGACCCCTTTATCATTATGTGGTGACCTTCTTTGTCTCTTTTTATAGTTTCTGTCTTGAAATCTATTTTATCTGATGTAAGTATAGCTACTCCTTTTTTTATTTCCATTTACGTGGAATATCTTTTTTATCCCTTTATTTTCAGTCTGTATATGTCTTTGTAGGTTAAATGTGTTTCTTGTAGGCCACAGATAATTGGGTCTTGTTTTCTCTCGTGTAGAAGGAGTCTCACCACCCCAGGCCCATGGCAAGTACTGCCTGGCTACTGCTAATGTTCACTCAAGGCCCAAGAGCTCTTCATTCAGCTTGTGGTGAATGCTGCTAGGCCTGGGCCTCTCCCTTCAGGGTAGGTGGCTCCCCTTTGGTCCAAGGCAGGTCCAGAAATGCCATCCAGGAGCCAAGGCCTGGAATTGGGGAACCCAGAAGCCCTCTTGGTGCTTTACCCCCGTGGCTAAGCTGGTACCCTATCTTAATACAAAACCCCCTTCGCTCCTGCCTCTCCTTTCCTCAAGCAGGAGTCCTCCCTCAAACAGGGAATACACAGAGTCACACCTAAGGTCAGCATGGCCCTGGGTCTCATCCAAGGCCTGTGGCAAGTGCTGTGTGAGTACTGCTGCTGATTCAAGGCTCAGGGGCTCTTTAGTCAACAAATAATGAATCCTGCCAGTACTGGGTCCTTCCTTTCAAGGTGGCAGGTTCCCTTCTGGCCCGGGGTGAGCCTAGAAATGTCTTCTGGGAGCTCGGGCCTGAAATAGGGGCCCCAGAACTCTTCCTGCGGCCCTATTCTACTGTGGCTGAGCTAGTATCCAAGTTGCAAGACAGAGTCCTCTTTACTGTCTCCTCTCTTCTTCTCAAGTGGAAGAAAGGAGTCTCCCAGAGCTATGAGCTACACTGCTTGGGGTTAGTGGAGGGGTGACATTAGCACTCCCTTGGCCACCCCAACTGGTGTCTCACTAGGTCACATGCACCCAAAGTTTTAGTATGTTAAAACCAGGTACTAGGATTGCTCACCTGATTTTTGGGTCTTATGAAGGTGCTTTCTTATGTGAATAGTTGTTCAGTTTGGTGTTCCTGCAGGGGGACAGGGGAACGATCGTTGGAGGGTATTATTTGGCTGTCTTCTTCTGCCTCCCCTCGTAGGCTTTTTTTTTCTTAATACAGCATTTTGCTCCACTCCATTTTATACATTTCTATTATCATTTTTACTCATTATTAATGAAAAATACATTCTCTTTTAATTAAAACATGTAAAACCATTTTAGTGTGAGCCATTTTAATAAATGAACTCTCTAGAACCTTGCTTTGAAATTATATACTGTGCCATTAATATTGCCATAATGATGACCAAAAATTTCTGTCGCTCACCTAGCTGTTAAGATTTTATTTGAATTTTGTTTTAATGTGAATAGAAAATACTTATTTTCATTAATCTTCTTTTCAAATCACTCTTCAATTTATCAGCTTAAAAAGTACCCTATAATTATTTTTATTTTCCCATGAAAAATAGTGTTTTGGGGGCTTTTGTTTGTTTTTATTTCATTTCTTACTGCAGAAAATATTTCAAGCGCTGAGAGCTGTGATTTATTAGTATATGATATACAGGGTACATTACTTTTCATTAGCAAGGTCTCTATTACTGCTTTTTGAAGCCATAAAACAGAATTAAAAGAAAGTGACAAAGATGAATAAGGAATGAAAAATAAGCTTTTAAAAAGAGATTTAAATCTGTTTAGCTGTAAAGTGGGAAGGAAGGATGCACTCACCATACTGAGAGTCAGGATACCTGGCTTTCTGGGCTGCTCTGCTGTCAGTAAGTGAATCACTTTAGATAAGTCACTCTACTGTTTCCTAATCAGAAAATGAGAGGATTTGAACAGATCAGGAGTCAGCAATTTTTTAATTAAAAGGCAGCTAGTAAGTATTTTAGGCTTTGCAGGCCACATGGCCTGCATCACTACTTAGCTCTGATATAAATGATACTGTATTTAAATGAATAAGCAGGGTTCTGTTCAAGTAAAACTTTATTAACAAAAACAGGTAGCAGGCCATATTTGGTCCACAGATTATAGTTTGCTGGTGTTTATACTAGGTGATCTTTTAAGATTTCTCATCTGGGTGCAATGGCCCGCGCCTGTAGTCTCAGCACTTTGGGAGGCCAAGCTGGGCTGATCACTTTGAGCTCAAGAGTTTAAGACCAGCCTAGGCAATATGGCAAAACCATCTCTACAAAAAATTAGGCAGGAGTGGTGGTGCATGCCTACTCAGAAGGCTAAGGTAGAATCGCTTGAGCCCGGGAAGCAGAGGTTGCAGTGAGCCAAGATCACACCACTGCACTCTAGCCTGAGTGACAAAATGAGACCCTGTCTCAGGAAAAAAAAAAAAAAAAAAAAGATTTCTTTTGCATCTACATTCTGTGATATTGCTTTATTATCAATATCACGTATATGAAAGGGACTGGTGCTCAATTCTTTTCTATCCTGTATCAGTTAGGGGCCAGTCAGGAGACAGAAACCACATATTTATTTTAACAGAATAAGGGTTGAATTTGATAATATAAATAACAGTTGGCTGGTCACGGTGGCTTACACCTGTAATCCCAGCACTTTGTGAGGCCAAGGTGGAAGGATCATTTTAGGCCAGGGGTTCAAGACTAGCCTGGGCAATGTGGTAAGGCCCTATCTCTACAAAACAAATTGTTTTTAAATACTAGCCAGATACAGTGATGTGCGCCTGCTTCAGCCTCCCAGCTACTTCAGAGGCTGAGACAGGAGGATGGCTTGAGCCCAGGAGATTGAAACTGCAGAGAACTGTGATTGTGCCACTGTACTCCAGCCTGGGTGACAGAGGGACTAGTTGATCTCAAAAAAGAAAAAAAAATCATTAACTAGGTTTAAAGAACTGAAAAGGTAATAGGAAAACCTTGAGGTGTCATGGATTTAGCAACTGCAGGAAGTAGTTACCACCTGTGGGCCTGAGGAAACAAAAAGAGGCAAGAATTGTTAAACCATACAAGCTTGGAAGAAAGGCCTCACAGAGCTGACACTTACATCTCCATGAAGGGGATCCTGCTCAGCTGAGGCTAATAGAAGGGCTCCAAGAAGGACTCTATGGAGATTAGACTCAGACTCTGAGGACAAGGCACTGGTCACCCAGTGCCAGTATCTCTGAAGACATGAGATGAAACTAGTCCCGCCTCCCTTGGAAAAACTGCAAACTAGATTCAACTACTGCTACTGGAATGAACTGCCAATGCTTGGCTGAACAAGTAAGACTAGGGTAATGCTGATAGGAACAGGAAGGGGCAGATTATTTTTCCAATAACCTTAACAATTAACAAAGTCCATCTTTTTGGCTAACCAGCATCCATACTCACCCTTCTATATATATATTGGAGCTTCCAAACTATACATGTTTGAAACTCTAAACATCTTCAGCACAACAAACTGTATTTTAACCTAACAAGATGCAAGTATCTTTCATGTAATTGAAGACATTTTTACTTCTCCAAAATGAGGCTAGTTCCAACAGTCACTTTAACTATGTTTCGATGATATAACACTATCCATCTCTGGCTATGTTAATAATTTCTCAAACTCTGGCACAGTCCTATCTGAATGGTTTGTTATCTAAAAACTAAATTGGAAAGTTAATTTACATCAAAACTTGCATTTATAAAATAAGGGAAAGGAGGCGAGAAAGATTAAATTAGTATTACACACACACACACACACACATAAAACAAAAGCAAGGAACAAAATATGCATAGCTGCTGAAGTTGTCATTTCTGTAGCTAGTTATGAAACTGAGATTGATTTTTTTTTTTTTCTTTAAGAGACAGAGTGTCACTCTGTCGCCTAGGCTGGAGTTCAGTGGTGCTCACTGCAGCCTCAAACTCTCGGGCTCAAGCAATTCTCTCACCTCAGCCTCCCAAGTAGCTGGCACTACGGACATGCACACTACACCCAATCAATATTTTTTTGTTTAATTTTCAGAGATAAGGTCTTGCTTTGATGCCCAGGCTGGTCTTAAAGTCCTGGCCTCAAGAGATCCTCCCACCTCAGCCTTCATAGTAGCTGGGATTACAGGCGCAAGCCACTGCACCCAGCTGATATTTATAACTTTTTTCATCTGCCTATCCCATGTGTCCTTTGCCCTAAGCCAGTACCACATCTAGCCAGGGTTCTTTCCCTGGTAGGTTGTCCTAAATCTTCATTCTTGGTGGGTCTGAATCCCTGGTAGTTCTCTTTTTTTTTTAGTAGCTACATAGATATTGATAAAGAATCAAACAAAAGAAAACAGACTTTGGTTAAAGCAAGAGGCACTGGATTAAACATAAGAAACCACTGTGGGCCAGGGCCACCCCTGAGTCTTGGCCTAAGCTCCTCTCAACCCCCCAAAAAGAAAAAGAATTCATGGAAACATTAGAATAGCAATAGGGATGGTTTTGTCGTTGTTTCTAATGTTTTAAAATAATAGATTAGATACTTATCTCTTCCGGGTAGTTTTAACTTCAGAATGCTGAGATAAATATTTTTAAAATACTTTTGGTACTCTTTTACTCTCTCTGGTGTAAAATGTGGCACGTGACTTCCCTTTGTTAGTTTAAGTTCCCTAAACTAACTTTCAAATATTTATTTCCTTATAGAAATTATATCTACAATTGGATAAATTCCTTTAGCTGGGTTTCCAGTAGACCTGGATATAACTAAGACAGGAAATATAAAACGTGTGTATTGTTAAGCACATTTTAATCAGCTCTTATCATAGTTGAGCACAGAGAAGAACATTAATATTATAAAATATAAAACTGTGTATTTATTAATAGTGATGAGCTGACTCTGAATTTTCAGCCTGCCAAGAAATCTTTTAAAAAGAGCTTTTACTGCAAATCTTGCTTATTTAAGATAGAAAAGTAGGATAATTATATATTGTAACTAAATGAAGATCAAATAAAAGCAGAGATCTTGAGCAGGCAGGACACATCCTGGCACTCTTTATGATAACTGGTCCAAAGTGTCAGTAAAACAATTGGGCATTTCAGAGTTATATTATATATAAAAGTTGGTTCAAACACTTAATTATAAAAATGTCTTTTGAAGCTTAAAGTACCATAAAATGTGCTAATTATATTTCACAGAATATCACTTTGATTTTTCTGTAAATCAAATCTGAGTTTTTTATTTTTCGTTGTATTTATTCTTGAAATTAGCTGATTCTACCTTTTAAACAAAATAAAGCTAGTGTAATCTACCATGTTATAGAACAGGAAAGAATTTTCCTCTGCCTTTGTAGATACAATTCAAAAGAAAGTCAGCCTGTTCTTGAAACCATACTTTACCCAAACAGCCCTTGGTCCCATTCAACAAATTAACTTAATAAGCATTTTTTGAGCACCTATTTTATGCCAGGCATAATGCATTTGCTGAGAATAGAATGTAAATAAGACATAGTCCCTGCTCATATAGAGCTATTAGAATACTACAGCCTAAGCCATGCTCAGATGTTGAAAGATCAACAGGTGTATCACTCTGCTATTGGTACAATAATGCTGTGTAACAGACTATCCAAAAATATAGCAGCTTAACATAATCATTTATTTTTACTCACCCATCTCAGGTTAACTAAGGGTTGATTGGTCTAGGCAGTTTGGTTAGGTTTGGCTCCAAGCTGGAGACTGGCTCCAGATCCACCTTATTCTGTCCTCCTTGGACCAGTGGGCTAATTGGACATATTTTTTCATAGTGTTGGCAGAACCAAAAAAGACAAGCCCAATTCCACAAACACATTTTGAATCCTTCCTTGTATCACATCTACTAATACACCATTAGTTAAAGCAAGTCAAATGATCAAATCCAAAGTCAAGGGCAGGGAAGTGTGCTCAACCTCTAGTGGGAATTACTGCAAAATGGGATTCAAGGTCTGGTGGGGGGAACTGCAAAGACAAATGAGAAAGAGCGTGTATATAGGAGAGGCTGAAGAACTGGGGTCAGTATTTCAGTTTGCTACGGGCATGTTTTGGGGAGCAGCAAATACAGAGATAATCAGTACCTCCCTTCCACTGCCTTTGTTGGACTATTATGACCAAGCAAAATGCCACCAAAATGTTTCACCTTGCCTTTGCAAGGAGAAACTGGGTTATAATTGTGTCTTGAATGTTGAGAACATGGATTGAAAGCTTCATTGTAATATTAAAGTTATGTAATTGAGGAATTTGGGGAGATGGTATAAAGTTAAAAGATTTCTCAACTTTTTGTGTTGAGAAAGTACCTATTTTTATAGTATTATATGGAAACTAAGCTGCTAATAGTGTGTGTGGCTTGCTGGCATTGGAGAGGCACAGGAAAAGAGTAAATTAGTCATTACCAGCCCGGGCAACAAAGAGAGACCCTGTCTCTACAAATAGTAATTTTAAAAAATTAGCTGAGCTTGGTGGTGTATGCCTGTAGTTCCAGCTACTTGGGAGGCTGAAGTGGGAGGAGACCCTGAGCCTGGGAGGTCGAGGCTGCGGTGAGCCATGACCACACCACTGCACTCTATTCTGGGCGACAGAATGAGACTGTCTCAAAAAAAAGGAATTCATTTCCTTCTCCTGTTGCCAACATCACTCCCAAATATATTTACCATACCCTAAATGTCATGATATCAAGAGTTTACTCTGTTACAATAGTTGCAACAGTTTCTGAGCTCTATGTAGTCCTTGTGCAGAGGAAGATTTTTGGTGAAAGCTTCTGCTTAGAATCAGTTATAGGTTGAGTATCCCTAATCTGAAATGCTCCAAATTCATAACTTTTTGAGTGCTGACATGATGCTCAAAGGAAATACTCATTGGAGCATTTCATATTTCAGATTTTTGGATTATGAATGCTGAACCAGTAAGTATAATGTAAATATTTCATAATCTCCCCCAAAATTCAAAATTTTAAAACACTTCTAGTCCCAGGTATTTCAGGGAAGGGATACTCAATCTATATCAGTCTTCTTAATCAACTGATTTGTCTCCCTGGGCCAATGGTGTGGCCTCTGTTTGGGATTAATGACCCATTTTCAGAGCTGCTGTGGAATACATATGAATTGGAATCTGTATCTGTGAAAAGTAGGATATCCTAATACAAAGGATTCATATAATGACTAATGTTTTGTAACTACTTAGTAAGTTCTAGGTAATATTTATGTTCAGAATATCTATGAAGGGAAGGGAGATGATACTTGTGGTAGTAGTTTTAGTAAAATTAGGGGAATAGTTGTGCTCAGACTATCCTAATATTATTGTCCTAATATGGGAGAGGCCAAAAATTACCCATAGGGATTCTTAGCAAAGACATAAGAATCTTCCAAGCATCTCTCCAGGCAAGTAGCCCATGCATTTCTCTTAAGAGACTGGACAGAATGTCTTCATTGTTACACTTTCTGATTGTTTTATTTCCCTTTAAAATAAAAGCCATAATTCAAGAAAAGCATGTTACACACTACCCAGCACATTACAGGTGTTTAACAAATACATGTTCATTCCTTTTAGTTCTTTGCACCTTAGTAATAAACTTTTAAAAAGATTATTCCTTCTTCTTTTTTATATAAGCAGAAGAATCATCTATACCATCAAGAGAAAGAGAGGGTAAGAGGTAGAGAAACAGAACCATATTGCTAATAACAAGAGTTATGCAAAGTTTAAATATGGTGTATCAAGAGATAGTGTGCTCCCACCATTGGAAATGTTCAGGCATAAGCTATACAACTACATTGAAAGAGATAACAGAGTTGAGCATTACACAGGTGTTGGATGGGACAGCCCTTAAGGTCCATTCCATTCCAGTAATTTTAATAAAATATTCTTTTGACTGCTGTCTGCTACATTCTTCAGTAAAATGTTTCCTTGCTCATCTTTTTTCTTTCCTATACACTGATTAGAAACTATGGTAAAAGTATTGTTATGGCACAGTGCTGACATTTTTTTATTAACAATTTTGTTATATTTGTTAAGTGAATGAACAGGTTAACAAATGAATATCAGTACCCAATGTCAATCATCATAAACAACTTATATATGAGGTTGGAGATGTAAGTTTACTTACTGTCGTAATTCTTGTTTCCTTATGCTGAGGGAATTCTGAGCTGTCTCCCCTTCCTCTTTTCCTTCTTAGTTTATATTGAATAGCTTATTTATAATCAGCTATTAGGTAAGGTAGTATATGTCATTGGTGGCAAAATTGGATTTCTTGATTAAAATTTTGGATAAAGTCTTTGAGGCAAATGACCATGTAATCTCAACACATCTTACAATTTCTCATATACAGAAATATACTCCCCAGGTATTTGGTGGCAAAACATTTGAGGCCCAGCAGCCATGAAAAGATAATCTTAGGGTTTTTTTTTCACTCTCACCAACTCAAACCAGTTGTTAGTAATAAGTTGGTAGCTAGTATTTTCTTCCTTTTTTTGTGTTTTTGTTGTTGCTGTTGTGTTTGAAACAGGGTCTCTCTCTCTCTGTTTCCTAGGCTGTAGTGCAATGGCATGACCATGGCTCGCTGCAGCCTTGACCTCCCAGGCTCAATCAATCCTCCCATCTCAGCCTCCTGAGTAGCTGGGACTACAGGCACACACCACCACGCTCGGCTAATTTTTTTTGTGCGTTTTTGTGGAGACGGATTTTCGCCATGTTGCCCAGGCTGGTCTTGAACTCCTGGGCTCAAACGATCCACCCTCCTCAGCCTCCCAAAGTCCTGGAATTACTAGCACGAGCTACTGGTAGCTAATATTTTCAAACAATAAAATGGATACTCTGGTATTTCTTATAATTTGAAACATTTTTTGTAAAATTAATTTTTTCTTTCACTCAGTTTTTAGTAAAAACCCATTTACTATTTCTTTTGATAACAAAGAAACTTCCTTTTTCTTACTGTCTCTGCAGTTTTCATGATCCAGACATTCAGAGGCAAGATGGCATTTTAAGCTTTTGGACTAGCATTTTGTTTTTCATTTTAAATCCCACATCTACCATTATCTGTTTCTTATATGAAGTAAGGGTTTATGTTTATTTGCTTAGCTTGTTTTGCTTTTTGAATAGGAAATATTTAATCCCTCTGTTGAAGGTTATAGAACCTCTTAGCAAGCACAGGTTTATTATGTACTGTCTTAAAGTAGCAAGTGAAACGAAGGGTTAATATTTTTTACAAACCACTTACTTGGATTTTTAAAAGTATAAAATACGTGTGTTTTATATGTATTACATATTTTGCATATATATTTTTTGGCTGGAGTAAGCCCTGATTCCAAAGTTCTGGAGATACAGACTAGCTGAAAGACATTTTCTGAACTTGAATATTCTAACTAAACTTTTCTTTCTTGTCAGCCACCAGCTCTGCCCACTTGGAAGACCTTGCTTACCTGGATGAGCAGAGACATACACCTTTGAGAACCTCTCTACGAATGCCAAGACAGAGTATGGGTGGTGCTCGCACACAGCAGGATTTAAGAGGTTAGAACCACAGAAGGGCTTTAAGGATGCGTGGAAACAGATGGAAATGGGACAAAGCCAAAAAGTTCCTTCGTTTCCTATTCCCATACTTACTTAAACTTCCCTTAAAAAGTGAAATGATCATTTTAGCATGTGACCAGTTCATTTCTGCTGAGTCTAGAGAAAGATAAACACAAATACATTGTACTCCTCATAGACAGGCATTGTGTAATTATCAACATTTGGAATCATTAGTTCCTCGAAGTTCTGAAAGAAGACAAATGTAAAGGGGCTGTGGTAATGGGGGAAATGACCTTTTTAAGATCTTGGATTTCAGAAGTGAATATTGCAGGTGAGCTGTGCTGATCATCATGTACAGGTTGAGCATTCCTAATCTGAAAATCCAAAGTCCAAAATGCTTTGAAATCCAAAACTCCGAGTGCCAACATGATACCACAGCGGAAAATTACACACCTAGCTTCATGTGATGGGTTACAGTGAAAACTTTGTTTCACAAAATGTTGAGTAAAATTACCTTCAGGGTATGTGTATAAGATGTGTATGAAACATACGAATTTCTTCTTTAGACCCAAGTCCTATCTCCAAGATCTTTCATTATATATATGCAAATATTCCAAAGTCCAAAAATATCTGAAATTCAAAACACTTCTGATCCCAAGCATTTTAGATAAGGGATACTCAAGCTGTATTTTGCTAGGGATTTTTTTTTCATTTTTGTTTTAGTGGCCATTTCTAGTAACATGCAATACTTTTATTATCTTGGTCTTTTAGAAAGTGCCTATGATCCTGGCCTAACAAGTTCTACATAACCTATCCTTTTCTCACTCAGGCACCTGTTGCCTTACCTGCTTTGTGGCATGCTACATGCTTCTCCAAGCTGGCACTGGATCTTTTTAAAGATTTTCATTTTGTTATAATGATGGTCTAGTTGAGGAGCCTCTTATTGGTATTTCTGTCTCTCTCGTGTGCTCAAAATGAACCAAACTGTCTCTGATAGCTTTTAACAGATAGTCTCCTTTCTCTGGTATGTTAGCAATCTCTGTCTCTACCAAAAGTGTGTTTTTTATTTTATCTTACAGATTATTTTCAACTTTCTTTAGCTTTTTTCCTCACCGGTTGTCCTATTCCCTACTGTAAGCAGTATAGTGCCACATGCATAATTCACACGGGAAGGAATTTGTACGTGTCCACTGTCCACTCTAGACATCATTGTGCTAACAGTTTGTCAGTGATGGCTAAGCAAATAGGAGCATAAAATAATTGATTGTATTGCAACAATTACCATACCTCCCATCAACAGCAGTTAGTTGATAACCTCAATCATACTTTTAGTTCCCAGTCCTTTTGTCCATCGTGCTTGCCAGTTCTTCAGTTTGCCATATACCAGTTGCATGGCATGTGCAACTGTGTATTTACAGTCCAGAAAATGGAAATATATCAAGCACTATTTTAGACTGATTACATCTAAAGCCTGAATAAATTTGATCAAGAGACCAAATAATTGATTTGCCCCCCGACCGGAATGCACAGCCGTAATAAAGAAGATTGGACAGAACTACTGATCTATAGGGACCTTCAGATTTGATTGAAAATCTGCCACATTGGCATCATCTTGCATCTCATTACTAAAAAACATACTGACATTGCTGACTTTATTTTCTGCTTTACTAACCATTGAATAATAGATGTTATACTATATAGAAAACAAAATTATTTGACAGATTTCAGCAGTGAAATTTTTGGGAAACCTTTATGTTGAGTTCTGTTGATATGTGATAGCACCTATCTGCTTCTAGTATCTGAAGATTTAATAAGGTGTTTAACAGATACATTCTGGTGAGCTTGATGTTTACAAATACCAGTTTTACCTGGAATGCAACAAAGATATTTTCCATTGCATTGATCTTCAGCTGAAACATTCAGTGAAACAACAAAAGCACATTCAGAGATTTTCCCAAAGCTTACCTAAATCTTTAGGAAGGGCTCTACCTGAATAATGAATTTCTAAAAATACTAATTTCATATTCCTTGCAAATAATGTCTTAACTTACTGTTTACATTAATATTTAAACTGGAGTTTGTCCATTGATGAAGATGCTATGATGTCAGTATTTCAGTTCCTTGAAGTCATCTTTATTTTTCAAGACCTTTCCTTTTAGCAGTCTAAATGGTTAGAACATGCCATCCAGCTGGGTACATTGAGCCATAAGAAGCAAGGTGTTTACTTAGCAGTGTAAAATGTGCTAAAACTAGTAATAACTTTAATTCAGAATTTTCAGAATTTAGAGTCCCTAAACAATAATCTTCTCTCAAAAAGTAACATGTTGTCTTGATTATTGTTTACAAATGAATTGTATGGCTTAGGATACAACTTAAAACACATTATCAAGAAAGGAAAGCTAACTTGGGCAGATAAACTTTCCTTATGTTTCTGCAGACCTGCTTGGCAAGCCTTTATAATTTGTGATTATTATATCCACAATGTTGTACTTTATTTCAGAAAAAGAATCAGATTTGTTTTCCTGCAATAATTGTTAAAAACATGTCACATCATGCTTTCTAATTTTAAGAATGTACAAATTGCAGTCATATTTCAGTTTGACATATTTTCCTTCTGATTTTGATTAAAATGAAACTACCCCAAAAAAAGTAATAAAATGAAAATCTTTTTTAGTCTGCATTAAGGTTTGTCTTTCCACTTTAGAATAGAGGTGTATCTTTCCACATTTTAAAGGAGTACTCCAACAAGTTCTATGAAACAGGGTTTTTTTTAACTTTTATTTTAAGTTTAGGGGTACATGTGCAGGTTTGTTACATAGGTATGAGTCATAGGGGTTTCTTGTACAGATTATTTCATCACCCAAGTATTAAGCCTAGTATCTATTCATTATCTTTCCTAATCCTCTCCCTCCTCTTGCCTCCTCCCACCAGTAGGCCCCAGTGTTTGTTGTTCCCTTTTATGTGTCCGTGTGTTCTCACCATTTAGTTCCCCCTTATAAGTGAGAACATGCGGCATTTGGTTTTCTGTTCCTGCATTAGTTCGCCAAGAATGACAGCCTCCAGCCTTATCCATGTTCCTGCAAAGGACATAATCTCGTTCTTTTTTGTGGCTTCATAGTATTCCATGGTGTATATGTACCACATTTTGTTTATCCAGTTCACCATCGATGGACATTGAAGTTGATTCCGTGTCTTTGCTATTGTGAACAGTGCTGCAGTGAACATATGTGTGCATGTGTCTTTACGACAACAATTTATATTCCTTTGGGTATATACCCAGTGATGGGATTACTGGATTGAATGGCAGTTCTGTTTTTAGGTCTTTGAGGAATTGCCACACTGTTTTCCACAATGTTTGAACTGATTGTGGAAAACACTCCCACCAACTGTGTATAAGTCTTCCTTTTTCTCCACAGCTTTGCCAGCATCTGTTATATTTTGGCTTTTTATTAATAGCCTTTCAGACTGTTATGACACGGTGTCTCACTGTGCTTTTGATTTGCATGTCTCTAATGATCAGTGACATTGAGCTCTTTTCCTTTTTTTTTTTTTTTTTAATAATTTTACTTTAAGTTCTGGGATACATGTGCAGAACATGCAGGTTTGTTACATAGGTATACGTGTGCCATGGTGATTTGCTGCACTATCTACACATCATCTAGGTTTTAAGCCCCGCATGCATTAGGTATTTGTCCTAATGCTGTTCCTCCCCTTGCTCCCCAATCCCCCAACAGGTCCCAGTATGTGATGTTCCCCTCCCTATATCTGTGTGTTCTGCCATTGAGCTTTTCATCATAAGCTGGTTGGCTTCATGTATGTTTTCTTTTGAAAAGTGACTGCTCATGTCTTTTGTCCATTTTTTTAAATGGGGTTGTCTGTTTTTTTCTTAACAAATTAATTTAAATTTAAGTAATTAAATTTCTTAACTTAAACAAATTTAAAGTTCCTTGTAGATGCTGGGTATTAGACTTTTGTCAGAGACATAGTTTGCAAAATTTCCCATTCTGTAGGTTGTCCGTTGACTCTGTTGATAGTATCTTTTGCTGTGCAGAAGCTCTTTAGTTTAATTGGATCCTGTTTGTCAATTTTTGCTTTTATTGGAATCCGCTTTTGGTGGCTTCATCATGAAATCTTTGCCCATTTCTATGTCCAGAATGGTATTTCCTAGGTTGTCTTCCAGGGTTTTTATAGTTTGGGGTTTTACATTTAAGTCTTTAATTCATCTTGAGTTAATTTTTAAATGTGGTGTAAGGAAGGGATCCAGTTTCAATCTTTGCGTATGGCTAGCCAGTTATCCCAGCACCATTTATTAAATAGGGAGTCCTTTCCCTGTTGCTTTTTTTTGTCAGTTTTGTTGAAGACCAGGTAGTTGTAGGTGTGCAGTCTTATTTTCTGGTTCTCTATTATGTTCTCTTGGTCTATGTGTCTGTTTGTACCAGTACCATTCTGTTTTGGTTATTGTAGTCCTGTAGTATAGTTTGAAATCAGGTAGTGTGGTGCTTCCAGCATTGTTCTTTTTGCTTAGGATTGCCTTGGCTATTTGGGCTCTCTTTCATATGGGTTCCATATGAATTTTAAAATAGTTTTTTCTGGTTTTGTGAAGTGTCGTTGGTAGTTTGATAAGAATAGCATTGAATCTTACCAATTACTTTTGGCAGTATGGCCATTTTAACAATATTGATTCTTCCTGTTCACAAACATGAAATTTTTTTTTTTATTTGTTTGTGTCATCTCTGATTTCTTTGAGCAGTGTTTTGTAGTTCTCCTTTATAGATATAATTCACCTACCTGGTTAGCTGTATTCCTAGGTATTTTATTCTGAAATAGTTTTTTAATCACAATTCTGGTTTTAAATGATCCTAGAGATAGTAGTTAGTGCTTATATACACCGTAGTGTACCCAGTAGATAACTAAGTTTATTGACTGACTGATTTCAAGTGTAGAGACTGTCTGAAATAATATCCTCTGGATATATGTCTAAAGAACATTTGAAGTGGCAAACCATGCATTGATTGGGAACTTTGTATGGGCAGAATCTTGTACTGTTCTGTTAAGAGCAGTGTTTCTCAAACTTTTTGGTCCCAGGATCCTTTTATATTCATAAAAAAATTACACAGATGGCTATGGCTGTCCCTCTAATCCCAGCACCTTAGAAGGCCAAGGTGGGAGACTTACTTGAGCCAGAAGT